ACGGTGTACAGGGCAGTCCTGTGTACTTTCTATCCAGTATCTCCCAATGATAATTATTAATACAATAATGAAACCAAGAAATTGATGTTAGTCCAATTCACAGAGCTTATTCAAATTTCACCAGTTTTACATTTATATGTATGTGTCGTTTTATGCAGTTTTATCCCATGTGCAGGTTCATGTTACCATCATTGCAGTCAGTTCCAAGATACAGAACTGGTCCATCAGCATAAGGCTCCTTTGTGCTATCCCTTTATAGCCACACTCTCCCTATCCCTAACTCCTCACAACCACTGACCTTATTGTTCATCTCTATAATTTTGTTATTTCAAGAATATTATATACATGGAACCATACAGTACATAACCTTTTATGACTGGCTTGTTTCACATAACATAATTCTTTTGAGAGCCATCCAAGTCGCTGCATGTATCAAAGCCTTGTTCCTTTTTATTTCTGCATGGTATTTTATGTTGTGGACATACCACAGTTTTTTTACCCATTCATTGGTTGAAGGACATTTGGGTTGTTTCCACTTTGGGGGTATAAACAGTCCTGTACAGCTTTTGTTTGAGCATAACTTTTCATCTCTCTGAGATAAATGCCCAACAGGGCAACTACTCAGTAGCATATTGTAGGCACATGTTTGATTTTACATGAAATTGCCAAAATATTTCCAGAGTGGGCTAGCGTACCATTTTCTATCCCCACCAGCAATTTACAAGTCAGGGTTTCTTCATCCTCACCAGCATTTGGTGTCAAATATAGTTTTAAGGTCACAACTAGGTTATAAATTTCTTGTGGCCAGGAGCTGTTTCATCTCACCTTTAAAACATGTTGATATAACATAGTAACATGGATTTAGAAAAGGATTATTGGATATTTCCTATAACCAGGACATTGAACAAGACAAAGACATGCCTTTCCTTTAGGCAGGAACTCTAAGTCTGTATGAAGGCAGTAGTTACAAGTGAGTTACATTAGAGGCCAGGCAGGCAGCATGAATGAGCGAAGCTGCCGGAGGGTAAGGGCGTGTGCAGACTTGGTAGGGACCATGGCATGCTGGAAACACAAGCCTGGCTAATGGGAGACTGTCCCCAGACACCTGTTCTGTCCATGTTTCTAGACATTCTGATTTTTCTAGAAAAGTCTAAATTAGAATTTTAAATGAGAATTCTCCTGATTTGTAAATATAGACTTAAATTTTGAAAGGCTCCAGGTGCCACAAAAGTCTTGAGGATCAACTTTGACCTAAAAACAAGTTATTTGAGAATCATGATTTACAGGGGTGAGATGCTCATTAAAACAAAAATAAACATGCAGTATTTTCAAATACAAGGAAGAGGTTATTTTAGACTGAACAAATACAAAAATCTTTTATAGATTCGGACTGTACTTCTCAAACTTGATTGTGCTTATTAATCACTTAAGAATCTTATTAATCTGATTCAATAGGTCAGGATCTGGGATGAGAACTGATTTTCTGTAATTACAAGTTATGCTAGTGATAGCCTGTGATACTCTGGGGATGCTGCTGATTCACAGACTATTCCTTAAGTAGCAAGCATGTGGATAATATTTCAGCTGAACCTTGAAGCCTAGACAGTGTTTATAGATGCAAAAATGAATCCTGGTAGAAAGAATGGTGCCATCAGTGATAAAGGCAGAAAAACTTGGAGATATTTGGAGAATTGTAAAATCTTCCCTGTCTCAGAACTTATTGATATACATATCAAAGATTCCATGTACATGAAGGCTCAAAGACTCCTTGATGGCATTGCTGAACTTTCTTTAGACTGCATGACAATGTAGGACACTTTCACCCAATTTTCTCTCCTACATTCATTTCCCCTAATAAATCTTTTCACATTTAATTCTCTCTTGCCATCTGCATCTCAGAAGAAATACAGTGCCTACTCCATAACTTATTAAACACTTATCGATAGACTTTTTGATAGCTTATTTTCGATTTTTTTGGTTGATACACATAATACCGTAATAAATATCCTCTAATTGTATCTTTTATGTATTAGCAGTTGTTGTTGTTGACTAAGTTCCTAGAATGGAATTGATTAAAGGGTATATTTATACTTTAAATTTAAATAAATGCAGTCAGATTGCTTTCATGAATACATTTAAACTAGAATACAATTTAGAAAATCCCTCATTATTAATGAAGTACTTTTCTCATCCAGAAGAGACAACAGAGCAAAAGTATAGATTAATTAAATTAATTTCTTAATATGGTATCTACAATCTATGTCATTACTTAGCAATAAAATCTCTGTAGGCTGTATGTAAAATAATATCAATTAATAACATACAAAACTTACATATAAATTATATAGAACATGAATTACTGCTTATTTTTATTGCTAATATTTACATAAAAGGAGAAGCCAAGAAGAGATATAAAATGGAAATAGTATTAATGTTTATCCTTATTCAGCAAGTTTTATAAATTATTAATATTCAAAAAGTAACAGCTAGATATTTATGTCATATGTAGTTATATTTTATTCATTTTTTCCCTTTTAAAATTCGCAAGGATTAGTAAAACCAGACACTAGTTGCAAATTTCAAATCCACTGGATTACAGGGTACTTTAAAAAATAATATAGAAACTTATTGTGCACATTTATTTCATCAATATTCGTATCTGGAAACTTGCACAACAATCTGATTAAAAATATAAATTAAACAAATAGAGCGGTTATCTGGAACAAATGTCATTTTCTATGAGGTTTGTTGCAAACAGTTTTGGGTAACTAAATTCTTTGATCAAAAATGAATACTCGGGGGAGGAGCCAAGATGGCGGACGAGGAAAGCCACCAGTCAGAGTGTCTCTGCAAAAAAGACGAATTTTAGAAGAAAGAGAAAAAAATAAGCTAGCAGAGAAACACACATCGGGTGAGGGTCGGAAGGAAGGGTGCCTGAAACTACAGGAGACTCCACGGGAAGACACTGCGGAGGAGAACTGGAAGCAGAAAGGTCCCGAGAGGCTTGGAGACCAGCGACAAGGGTAGGTGGAGCGGTTAACTTCCCCCTCCCTTGCATCTCGGACTGCTGGTGGCTCCTGAGCGGCTGGAGAGACCTGCCGACACCAGCCCAGAGACAGCTGCCGCCAGTGAGCAGTGGCCTCTTTGCGGACTCAGCACCGGGCTCCTAGCCGCCTCGGGGCACCTCCCCGGGCGCAGACCTGAGCCTAGCGGCAGACGCCATAGTGCTCCATGCTCTCCTTCCCCCTTCCTACCCGTGCATGCCCAGAGAGACAATTTAGCCATCACACGGAGGCATCTCCAAGGAACGAGACATTTCCTTTTGGGGCCCTACAGCAGACTGAGGGGTACTTAGACTGAGAGCTCCCTACCCGCCAGCCCTCCCAGGTGCTACTTGCCTGGGGACTCCAGGAGAGTGGGGCAAATCCCTAGGTGGAGTGAAATCGATCCAGCTTGGGCACCCTGTAGGTGATTCAAGACCAGCACCCCTCCCCCTG